AGAGAGAGAGAGAGAGAGAGAGAGAGAGAGAGAGAGAGAGAGAGAGAGAGAGAGAGAGAGAGAGAGAGAGAGAGACTGTAGGGAATCAGGATGGGTCGACTAGGAGAGGTGTGGACCTGTTTCCTTGTTATTCAACTTGTCAGGGGTCTTCTTGTTAATCTTCTCCCTTGTTCCCTCCCTTTGCTTTCTTTCTTTCTTCTTCTTCTTCTTCTTCTTCTTCTTCTTCTTCTTCTTCTTCTTCTTTTTCGTCTCCTTCTTCTTCTTCTTCTCCTTCTTCTTCTTCTTCTTCGCCTTTGTCGTTGTCGTTGTTGTTGTCATTGTCTCCTCCTCCTCCTGCCCCTCCTCTGCAGGGCGGTCTTTTGCGTGTCTGCCTCCCTCCCCGCTACTGTGTGCTGAGCGTTGTTCAGTTGTCTCTGGGTATGCCGAGCATGTCCCCAGTGTGGTCTGCGCGAGCATTGTGTATACTGATGAGGCTTCCACTGTGGTCTTTTATTGCCCTTTCCCATACGATCGACCTAGGTATCAGCACACGCGCTCCACTGTTCATTCCGCACGCATGCTACACCGTGTCACAGAAGGTCCCCCCCTGTAAGATAACACTAACAGTCTCTTGCCTTCTGAGCCTGCGCGCTCTGTGTTTTATCCCTCGTACACTAGTAGTCGTTGCACCGGAGTCCATTGCACAGGATATGGCGCAACAACTAACTCCTACTACCGTCTTAGCTGGAAAAGAATGCACGTACGCTGTATTTGAATACAACGTACAGGGTGCGTTGTATTCGAATACAACGTACGTGCATTGTACAAGGAGTTTTAGGGTGCAACTTTGCAGGAGCCTGTAGTGCGGGGATCGGTTTTTAACTTTTTAATAGTTTTTATGTATTTTTTCTTGAATTTGGTTGGGGAATTTGCCTGGACCCTCAGGTAAAAGTTGTTTGTATTACAATTCTATATACAACATAATGTTTTCTTTTAGTTCATTTTTTTTTTTCTGGATTTTTGTTTTTGTTGAAAAATCGAAATTCTAAAGAAATCAGAAAACATAATGTCCCTGCCGTAAAAATATATATATATATATTTTTAATTCTCGCCTCCAATTTCGTCTCGAATTTGCTTCTTAATTTTGACATGACCCTCGGGCAAACGTTGTTTGTATTGCAATGCAGTGTTGTACAACAATTCTTTCTTTTTTTTTTTTTCCTGGATTTTTTTTTCTTTTTTGTTTGAAAATCGAAATTTGCGGTAATTCGAATTCAACATACGTACATTGCCGTCGTACGTACGTTGTATTCGAATACAACGTACATACGTTGTATTCGACCGTCGGTTTAATTGGGATTAAAAAAGAAAAATCAGCGATTCCTGAGAACCTTTTTTTCTTCAGAGGTAAGTCGAATTATTTGAATAGAACATACGTACGTAGTACGTACGCATGTCTTTACGCATGTCTTTTTCTCGTTAAATTATCCACTACCTTCTTCCCCCGAATACAACGTACGGTCATTATAGCTGTATCTAGACTGAAAGATGCCTCAAATACATCTATAATGACCGTAGATTGTATTCGGGGGAAGAAGGTAGTACATCCGAAAAAAGGAGATCGAGTCTCTCCTAAAGCATAGGAGGCCATGAACCGTTGATTCATTTTATCGAGGGTCCATGACCTCCGAATTTTTAGCAGAGGCTCAATCTGCTCTTTTTTCGGATGTACTGGTGGTTTAAGACGGTAGTTGTTACATACTCTAATGAGTATGGGCAGAACCAAGGATCAACCAATGTAGGATGAGCATATATGCAACGGAAGTCTGATGAACGGACTGACTCACATAGACTGACTCACATAGCATCACTCCACAGACATACAATCGTGAGGTGGTGGGGTCTGAGCCATACATAGAAGATGCTCAGCCCCGTACACACATACAGATGAATGGGGGAGGAGAGACGAAGAGGTGGGGGGAGGTAGACAGCACCGAAAGTCACTGAGATAGAATCTGATAGGTCACCGATATGGTAGTCCAAAATGTCATCCAACAAGATCAAAATGTCGAGGACCATAGGTCACCAATGTCGGGGATACAGAGTCCAAATGTAAC